CGAGAACACACCCACACCCACACCCACACCCACACCCACACCCACACCCACACCAACACCCACACCCACACCCACACCAACACCCACTTACACCCACCCACACCCACATCCACAGCCACCCTCACCCACACCCACCCACACCCACACCCACACCCACACCCTCCAAGGCAAAACATTATTTTGAAAAATTTTAAAATATGAGAAAAATGAGTGGGGATGAAAGGGAGAAGAACGCGCCGGACCTCACTCACCCTTATCCTTAAGAGTTTTGCATGAAACTTTTTATACTAAAAACTTTCTTAGCGTTTTCTTAGTATCTAAACGAGTTCCATGTGATTTTATTAGTAAAGGTCGTCGTAATAGATGGGCCTCAGCACTTCTACATTGAGAAAAGAGCTCATTCGGAATCTTAATTTTTAGACATTACAATATTTCCATACTCACAACTGATTTTTAAGCTTCTATCCTAAGAACACGAGTGTTTTGTTTCGCAGGAGTTTTTCTCTGTTTAACAGACATTCTTTCTTTAGCGATTCAGGTTGGTATTGACGCAGATGGCGGACTTAAAGTGAGTGATATTCATGGAAAGAAATATTTGGTCTCTAGCTGTTATGGCTGGTCAGAACATAATTGTTCATGTAAAGGTCGAAAAACAGGTCTTGTATTATATCCATATAATATTGAATATAAAAATATTGTATTACTTGTTTGTGAAAATTGCTATGGTTGTAAAGAAAAAAAGTACGGAACACAACATGAGCAATTAGAACAATGGTACTATAATATTTATGGCAAATCAAAACAATATCGTCTTATATCAGGATTCTCCATGAAAGACGATGGATCACTTGGATTCAATAGTGTTTCAAAAAACGCCAGTGGTCCGTATACAGATGGTACGAGAAACATGAACGCGTTTGAGCAAAAAGTTGTGCAAAAGGTTGTTAACCAGAAACTTAAATCCTACACTGTAAGAATATGATGATATAAGACTAATAACATTATTTTCATTTTACCCTTTCTCACGAGCTTTTTTTTATTTAATTAAGGACATTTTTAACATACATTTCGTCTTTTTTATAATTATTTTCTATGATTTGTTAACCGAATTTATCTATCTATCTATCTATCTATCTATTTTGGGGGTGGGTGTCAGTTTATCAGCGAAATAAAGATTCAAAGCAATGCCATGCGACATATTTCGACCTACAGGGTGCTCCAAAAGTCCGCCAAAAAAGTAAATTTGAATAATTCTTTTATTTGTCACAACAAATCAACTAATTTTGTCATAAAGTAGACATCACTGTGAAGTTTTTATTGATACGGATAAACTTGGCAAATAATGTTGAAAGATATAACTTTTGACTAAAATATAGAAAATACGTTTTTTCAAATTTCGCTAAGGGTGTGAGTCGAGCTGCCATAACGTTTCTACTGATGCTCAATCAGTTTCATCAGATGGCTTCGATTCTGATCGATTCAAACGAGAATCTTTACATAGATCTGCACTAAGTTGTTGCTGAAGCAATAGTAATTCAATAGATAGGCGTGAGTCGAGCTGCCATAACGTTTCTTGTGTTTGAGTTCTTAGCTACCCCATAGTTTCTACTGCATCTCAAGCAGTTTGACCTAGGTGGCAGTATCTCAGTAGCGTTTGGATAGTTGTGTGCATTGGAAAGTGGGTGTGGGTGTGGGTATGTAATAGTTACCACGATAACCAGGGTTATTTCGAATATTTCTGACTCAATCTTATCAAGTGGCCGTAGTACCGGTGTAAGAGATCTAAACCTAGAATATAAGTTCAAATCAACATATGATACTTATAAAATCTACTTCGTATGAGTAGATTTACCTACAATAAAGTGGGTGTGTAATAGTTAGCACGATAACATAATAGATTGTTTCAGTCTTAGTTGGATTCAATGTGATATTGTTGAAGTGCATCTGTTGGATCCTTTGTTATTGTTGGTTTTATCCGCTGATTGTGTTTACATAGTACGAATAGTTTGATAATGATCTGAAATAAAACGAGATATTTTGTATATTTGTTCAAAGGGTGTTAATGGGGGATTTTTTTTTCTAATTTTTTTAATGTGATTTCAAATGCTGTATGATACGTTTTTATATGAGTTTATACAGTGAAGAATGTATATAGTTTTAGTTTATAGTTGGTGGTAGGTGGGTGGTATTGGATGGCGTTGAGTTTCATTAAAGATCATTGTAAGTTTGCGTTGTAGTGGACAGAGACCACGTTGTTGCAGGTTGTTTTCACGTTGGAGAATAGTCATGATAATTTGGTCGAGTTGCTGAACATTTTTATGATGAGTTTTTGTTGATTGTAATTTAAGTTTCTCTGCCATTGCTATGTTTGTATATTGTTGTGCTATTGCATCGGCTCTGGCTATCGTTTGCTGAGCGATATGTTCGGTTAATAGTGTATGTTCGTGAAAAACCAATAAGGTGAATATACGGTTTATATTTGGTAATGGTATATCCTGAAATGTACTTGATGATGCTGTCGTGTGAATTTGGAGCCATTTTTTAAATATAGCAATTTCATGTCGGATCGCTTGTTGATCGTGTGTAGCTTTCCATATAATTTCGGCTGAATTCACCTAAGGTTTCATCTATATTGCATGTATTGGTGAACATTTTGAATACTTACCTCTGTGTGCCTTGACTTCGATTTGTAAAAGTCGTCAACGAATTTATGGTCTTGAGCATCTAGTCGGAGCATTGTTTTTCGACTGTCAAGTTCAAGGCGTAATTGATATTGATCTTTATGGACTAAATTATTTATGATATTCATAAGGTTTGTCATATCAATAATGGATGGTGCTTGTTTCATATGTTCATGAATAGCCTCTTGGGCTTTTTCACATTGTAGTTTATATTTATGAAGACGTTGTTTGATTAAAGTTTTGGATCGACCATAGGTGTAACACATTGAATTTGCTTCGGCCATTTTTTTCGATACTCGACCGTTCCAAATACCTTCGGTCTTCCCAAGATTATAATAGAATGACCATTGCTCATGTTGCAATTGAGAATAATTTAATTTATTGACGAGTTGTGTAAGATGACGAATAAATAGTAATATGTCTTTCTGATTCAATAAGTTCATCTTGATTCATAATATTTGATGTTGATGTTAATAACATTTGTGTAAACTTGCTATCCGATAGTTTTAAATAATCCGGTAATAATAATGTCGGATCAGAACTGGTTTCCATATCGATAGGAAGGGATAGTGTTTTGCTTGCCAAACCTTCTGATGTCAAACAGTTTTGAAAGTGTTCACTAGGATCCATAGTTGCTAATTGGAATTCGTTTTTCCTAGAGACCTTTTTCTTTTTCTTATGTTGAGCTTTCCGGTCGTGTTGACTTTGATTGAATTTGGTTTTCATCTTTGGTTGCTGATCGTTTTATTAAACTTTGATCAAATTTTTTGAATTGAATTGGTTAGCGTTAGAAATCTGAAATGAGATGAAAGTCTCATATAGAATTTTTTTTCGAACATAACACAAGTGTGCAAGGAAAAAACCAGTGAATATATAATATAGTATATTTACAAAAGAAATAATGAGAAAACAAAAACATTTTCATGTCTATATAGTGTTCATTAGATATTCATGCCGTTACCGTCGATTCCATTTGGTTTTCGTTCTAAGGGAAAAAAAGTGATATACAATCGAAAGAAAGGTTGGTTATGTCTTACTCTTTCTTAATGGATCTTTCAATACGGATGACGATGGTCGTTTACGTGAAAGTTCGAATTCAATGTTTGGATTATTTCGAAAACCAACAACTAATCTTATTTCGCCATAAATGGTGTTTTGAAAGTGACTATCATGTATCATGTGTATTTCACGAGCTAAACCTTTGAGTCTAGCCTCATGTGTAACATGTACAAAGAGATTATTTTTGAACTTATCATTTTTTCGTTGGATGGTTGCTTCCATATTGTTTACATTTTGTTGTGTAACATTTTACGTAGTCTGTGTAAGCTCTACGGTAGCTGCATTTATGGCCAGTTGTGTTTGCTTCGCTGTTGGCTGATTTGATAATGTTTGACGTAATGCAAAAAATTGACTTTCATCAGTAATTCTTGGTAAAAGGGACGAAGAGGATGATGACATATAGTCAGCAAAGAATTTTTCAAGTTCTTAGTTAATATAATTGGATGGATATCTAAAACAAAAAATTGGTGATCTTTTAGTGATGTAGTAGATCAAAAAAAATCGATGATATACCTATTATATAAGAACATTAAACGAATGACACGCCGTTCATTATTAAATACTTCAAATGATGATGAATATCGCACCGCTCCAGTGAGAGCTGTATGAATCACATTTCGAAATACATATCGCGGATGATCCGATAAAAATGATACTACTGTTGGTTGAGTCGAAGGTTTATGATAGACCGATGATGCCAGAATACCATTGTTGTTCTTAACCACAACATCGAGGAATGGAATACTTTTACCAATATGATATTCTAATTTAATATTTGGATGAAAATTATTTGCAGCTTCTAATAATTCTTTGACTTTGTCTTCGGATTCGTTCGATTTAAAGAAAACATTATCAATATATCTAGAATAAAAATATACATCTATATTAAAATTTTCATTCATGCTATTAAAACGAAACACTCACCGGCCATATATCTCACGAGAACCTAATTTTGGTAAAATAGTTTGTCTTTCCCATTTCCACATGAAGATATTTGGTAATGTTAAAGTAAATGCTGATCCCATAGCACCACCAATAATTTGTCGATAAAATTTGTTACCATAGACAAAAGTATTTGCTTGGAGTACCACACGACCTAATTCGACAATGGTATCAATGGAAATTCCATTCACTCTTTCACAATAATGTACACGAAGAAATTCAGCAAGAATAGCGAGTGATTCTTCTTGTGGTAACATAGTAGAAAGATTCGAAATATCGAAGGTAATGAAGAGAGTCTATGAATTAAAATAACCTCTGTGAATATAGTTTTGAAGTTGATCAAGAAGGTCAGCACCATCTACAATGGTCGTTTGACGAGCAAATCGATCGAATAATGGTCGAATTAATTTATCTGAAAATTGAGAAATTTGCTTTGTTGCAGCATGAATTGTATTTAAAATGGGTCGAAGTGGTGTAGCTTTCTAAAAAAAAATTAATTGTTATTTATATATTGAAGAAGAAACAGATGTATAATCGGTAGTCACCTTATGTGATTTGGGAATAAAATACATATAAGCTAATTCTGTCTTTTCCCGATTAGGCATCATTTTTAATCTTTGCCATTCACGTATTCGATGCAATGATTTTAATTCATTAAGTAATCGAGTTGCAGCACAGATGATATCATTGAATGGCTTAGCAGTTAATTGTTCGTAAGCACCTGTTATTTGTCGATATTCGACAGCTTTTCGTTCATAATCAATGGCACGACCAATATGTAGTACACCACTTTTGTCTGTTTCACGTAGTATAAGTTTTTATTTTTTTAATTTTTTTCGAATTGATTGAACAATTTTTAATTCTCGTAGAGCACATATTTGATCGATTAAAGGTATTAGAGTCATATAACTTTGAGTCAGACAGGATCGAAGTCGATCGGAATACGGTGTGGGGTGTGAGTGGGTGTGGGTGTGGGCGTGGGTGACGGTGTGGGTCTGAGTGTGGATTGGTGTTCGGAAAAACAAGCTGATATCCACACTCACACCCACACCCACGCCCACACCCACACCCACGCCCACACCCACAC